CGACGAAAAAACCTGGCAAAAATACAAGTGAGTTTCTTACATGCGTAACTTTTTTATTACCTTATTGTTGGCGTAAAAAACTCCAATTTTACCTGGTTATTCCACAGTCACGCTCGATTTTCTCATTTTTTGGTGTGACACACCGCAACACAGAATCAGATCCCAAAAATATTGAACACTAACTAAGATAATTGATAATGCTTCGATTGAGCCACATTTTGTGAAGAGGTATACTGTTTCTTGCTCATTTTGGAAACGACAAATATGCGCCATCAGTTCCCAAATGCAGAAGGGTGCTTTTATGGATTAGCCAAAAATAGTGGCTCTTCAAAATGAATGTGTCTTGTGTAGGTCCAGCCCTACATTACATTGCCGTGATAAGAAAGAACACCATATGAACCTTCAGACGTTGCCATATTTCCTTCGACAAAAATCATATTTCTTAGCAAATTCGTGAATATTATTCTTCAAATTTTTCAGACAATTTTGTTCGCAGTTTAATCTAAATTACGTGGATATTTCAATGAAAAGTATGTATAATGGGCCTGTTGCAAACTTTTGCTAGAGCAAAACTAAGAGTTGTTTCTTACAGATAATGCCCTAAAAATCACGATGAGCGCATCGGCAAAGTCTGAAATTCACTCATAACTTCACAATCTGCGTAAGAAATTTGCGGTTTTTTGAGCTTCCCGCTTCGAAAACGGTACTACGGTACAGGTGAACATTTTGTTAGAGGAGTCGTTCCATTGGCGGCAATACTCATCATGGCCGACGCCAGTCCGCCAAAACACGTGTGATGGGACGAGATAACACCTGAACAGGATTAAACCACATAACAATCGGCGTGTTTACGTTCATATTTTCCTCGCCCGCCTTAATTGACCTTGAACTCTCCTCGAATTACGTGAGGAACTGCGCAAGCGTCGGCCATGATGAATATTGCCGACGATGGAGCGACTCCTCTAACAAAATGTTCACCTGTGCAGTGGTATCGTTTTTGAAGCGGGAAGCTCAAAATAACGCAATTTTCTTACGCAGATTGTGAATTTATGAGTGCATTTCAGACTTTGCCGATGCGCTCATCGTGATTTTTGAGGCATTATCTATAAGAAACAACTCTTCATTCTGCTCTAGCAAAAGTTTGCAACAGGCCCATTTTCTTCAAAAAACATGTTTTATCCGTAAAAATTGGCAACTCTCGAATTTTCATGCAGAGTTCTTTCTTGGCACGGCAGTACAGGCTGAAGGACTCACAATCAGCCCTACTGCCTGTAGTTGGCGCTACTTTATTCCGTGTTTAGTTGTAAATATGGCAGCAATGGATGTGCCACTGGCCTTAGCGAATGAAATTCGGCCATACCGTGCTATTTTGGCGTCATGTGACGCTGACCTCATATAAGGTCGTTCGGAAGCACCAGACTTACAAGACAGGAGGAATTAGCGGATATACCCTTGGTGAATGGGCTTCGACGGCGGCGGTTGGAACTGTTTTTCGGATAAGCAGGCGCAAAGTCGTGGGCTGAACTCGAGGGACTCGATGGGAACTTCGGTCGGCGTGTCTGAAATCAAGCAAGGTTTACGGGATGCATCTGCCTCATATTTTTTGGCCGCCCTCCAAACCGTAGTGTTTTTAACATTTATTTTTCTCGATAATTTCTCTTCAAGCAGCTACTGCCGTGCTAAGGAAGAACGCCGTATGAACATTCGAGGGTTGCCGAATTTCCTTCGATAAAATGTACATTTTTTAGGAAAGTTATGAATGTTTTTCCGGGACTGAGATGGACTTTTGGCGGAGGTCTACTGGCATCTCAAGAAGAGAGCGTATCCGCAATGTAAAAGTACGCGAGATCATGGGTGTGGAGAAGGACATCGTGCACGATATCAGGTCCAAGCAGTTGGTCTGGTATGGACATGTGCGAAGGATGGCAGACGACCGGTTGCCCAAGCAGGTCTTCAATTGGGTTCCTCCCGGAAGGCGACGGCGTGGACGTCCTGTGAAAGGTTGGCGACAAGGGGTGGAGGAGGAGATCAGAAGGTGCCAATTGCCTGATGATCTCTGGGAGGATAGGGGGCAATGGCGATTGGGCGTCGCAGAGCGCGAGGCGGCGCTATAAAAGCGACTTTATGTATGTATGAATGTTTTTCCTTGAAATTTTCAGGAATTTTAGGTGAAATTGCGAGAAAAATTATGTTAAAAATTGAAAAGAAAATATTGGTAAGTTCACCAGGATATTCGTGTTTCATCAAAGGAAATTTGGCAACGCCTGGAGGTTCATACGGCGTTTTTCCCTAGCATGGCAGCATACGCCGCCGCGCCGACTCGCAACTATCTTTCAAAATTTTCGGAGCGATCACGTAATGAACATCGACCTGCTTTGAGGTTTCGCGTTTATGAGCGGTTACACTTTGCCAAGCTGGGAAAAGTCGTATCCCTAGAGCAGAAGCTCGTAAAATCGCATGAAGAAAATATTAGAAAACTTGTAACGGGAGTAGTAAGAAAATATAGAGAACTTGTTTGAACGTTATTTTTTTCACACTTTTAGGGTTGGAACTTAAAGAAATTTAGTGAAAACTTGGGCGAGTTAAAAGCGCTGAAAATAATTTAGTCGGTTTCTGTTAGACGGGCGTAAGTCCAAAAAATCGTGAGCCCCGGCTTTCGTTAATCACGAAGGACGCTACGGCTTATGAGTTTTTGGACTTACGCCCGTCTACCAGAAACTAAGCCCATTGTCGAATGAAAAGAGAGGAGAGAGAAAAAAATCCATGAGATGATAGTGTTTACGGTTTTGTAAAAAGGAATATCGTAGTTTCATATTGCAAAATTTAGTCTCATCGATTAAATTCCCCATCACACCCATTTCATTGCATCGTACATGCTTGAGCTCATGAAAAAAACTACGTACTAAGTACTTAGTCTAAAATTTTAGAGGAAAATTTTGCTCATATCCAGAATGAGTAGTATCTACCCGTCACAGTCCTATTCGAAATGACGAAAGCCGGATTCGCCTTATCTGGAAAGATCGACAAAATAAGCTCTCAAGAGCCGGAATAATGGGTATTCGAAATGGCATTCCGCCCATTGGCGTGGTGTGTTTTGCGGTATACCGATTGTTCTGTCATTTAAACCTAAGGAAAATTATCGATAAACAGGGCGTCCTCAACGAACCCCTTAAAAATCGATTCTTTACCGTAGCTTCAAATGAGGAAATATCGATAATCGATCATTTGCGACTCGCCAATGATCTAGTCTGGTTATAGATGAATGAGATGCCTATCAGACCTGGCAACTCCACAATTTTCGCTTGCAATATCCCATCCCGCTCACCCACTCAAGTGAAAGAGAATCTCTTTTCGATTTATTTCTGTTTATATCGTGCATAAACCTCTCAAATCGTATTTCCCTTCTTTGATGTCGTGCGAAAAATTCGTGTTATTGCTTCGATTCTTAAAATGAGAGAAGAATGAGTGAAAGCAAATAAGATGCCAGCCATTCACAAGGGAGACATTCACAGCATAAAACAATTTTCTGGGTGAATAAAATGAAAATAAATGAGTATATATTCTAAACGTTTCGGTTCACGATAGAAGTCTTTGAACAAGAAAAGTCTTTTGAAAAAGAAAAAACAAAGAAAATAATTCAAAGGAACAAACCCGAACAAAGAAAAAAGTGTACTTAATTTTCATTACAACGGGTCTTCTTCATTTCACTGAGAAAAATCTCCCAGTTAAAAATTTCTGGACGAGTGTTTTTGTGGCGTTAATCGGAATAAATCTATTAAATTTAACAGGAGCGTCTCTTTGAAATAACAGGAATTTCGTTTGGAACAAGATTTACTGTTGACATAAAGGGGATTTTCGTTCGGGCATTATATTACCTGGATTTTCTATCGATCCAGCAATAAAATTTTCTCCATTATCTGCGGCTTCATCGTTTTGATTTTTTCATTTTCTTTCCTCCTTTAAAGAAAGCTCTTGCAAGGAGCTAGCAAGTTCAGCCTTTTTTATTTTTTATTTCGTTATTCGTTCCGTAAGATTTTTTCACACAGTAAATTTGGCATTGGTAACTGGCTTGATTTCGGATTTCACTGCTGCAGGCTAAGCAGTACAATTGGGAGGGAATTCCAATTCTTTAAAAGTAACCCAAATTTAATACTTTAAAAAATTAAAAAACCACTTGTAAAATTTGCATTAAAACTTGAACAATTGGACGTATTTATGTTAAAAGGAACTATGTTCCTTTATGCTTTTAGCATAAACACGTCTAATTACAAAGGTGCTGCAGCAAATTCTTAATATCAATAGTCGTTTTCCCCCACACTCAAACAAAAAATTACTTCCTTATTCAGCGAAAATATTTCATCATTTCTTCCACAACTTGCTCACCGGATGCAATTAAGCTGAACCGTAAAAAATCGATTCCCTATTTCGTCGCACCAAATTCCAGCCCCCCCCCCCCAAAAAAAAGGGATTCGCCGCCGAAAGAAGTGAGATGTATAAATAGCCGAAGCGGAGATGTGCGAGCGGCGGAAAGAGATAGCAGGTAGGGAAATTGGCAAGGAAACAATGCGTCGCTCCTCCGACGAAAGGGCTCATCTCTGTTTTCGCATGAGCTCCGAAAAGCGTTGGTTCATGTGGAGATCAGGGCTCACGTGGAAATCGAGATAGGAGGGCGACGAATGGTCAAAGCCCGTTCGCTGCCGTGCTAAGGAAGAACGCCGTATGAACATTCGAGTGTTGCCAAATTTCCTTCGATAAAATGTTTATTTGTTAGGAGAGTTATGAATATTTTACCTTCGAATTTTCAGAGTCTTTAGGTAAAATTGCGAAGTAAATTATCTGAAAAATTGGGAGGAAAATTTTCATAGACTGACGAGGGAATTCGCGTTTTATCCGAGGAAATTTGGCAACGCCCGGCGGACCATACGGCTTTTTTCCTTGGCACGGGAGTTGGGGGTCGCGAGGCGTGCGCAGAGACGGCGCGACGTCCGCGGCTCGCCAGCAGGGAATCACGCCCAACTCCAGTTCGGGAGACTCTCCATCTCGGGTGGGCGCGAAATTTCGGCCATGTGTTGCGACGGGCATGGAGGCGGACGCGGGCAGGAGAAGTCGCGGCAGGGATAAGCAGGAGACCCAAGGGGCGCGCTCCAGGGACTCGTCCGGTTCCGTCTCCAGCGAGGTGAGGTGCGGGTGTCAGTACTTCCAGTCGGACAGTCTCCTACCAGAGCGACAGTCTCTCGTCGGGCGACCGCCCAGCAGAGGCTCCGCGATTTCCGGTCCCGGGGCGGCCATTTCCGGTTTCGGGGTGTCCACATCCGGTCCAGGAGCGACCATTTCCGGTCAAGGAGCGTCCATTTCTGGTTTCGGGGTGTCCACTTCCGGTCCAGCAGCGACCATTTCCGGTCAAGGAGCGTCTACTTCCGGTGTCGGGGTGTCCACTTCCGGTCCAGGAGCGTCCACTTCCGGTTTCGGGGCGTCCGTTTCCGGTGCCGGGTCGTCGACTTCCGGTTTCGGGGTGTCGGGTGTTTCCGGTTCCGGTCCGGGGGATGCGAGAGTGGCCGGGGCGCGAGTGGCCGTAGCGGTGGAGAGCGTGCGGGGGGTCGTGGGCGGGGGCGGCGGGGGGGAGCGCCCGCGCTATAGGGCGAAGCCGCCGCGGAAAAGCAAGTCCACCGACACGGAGAGCGAGCAGGAGGACCTGAGTCCGTTTTTAGACGTCAGCACTTCGTCCCTGTACTTCGCGATGGGGTAAGTCTCCGCCCCCCCGAGGGCTCCTTCTCACTCTGCTCCGGCTTCGCTTTCGGCCGTCCCTCCGGGCTGATTATTGACATCGATAGACAAAGCTATGGACAAGGAAGACGACGGGGAAATGGAGCGATCATTTTGGATGAAACGGACGTGGTTCTGATAAAAGAGGGACGGGATGCCGTTAGTTAGTCTAACCTCCTTGATCCATTGCAACCACCCACTTCCACCGATAGGATCGCTCAATATCCCCTCTGTCTCATCTGTTTTGTCTATTAATTTCAATAATTAGTTCGCAGGTCACACTATCGATAACGTTGTTAGCATAGCCGGATATCGACTATTTTGCAATAGGGCACTATTATTTGGACCACGTTCAACAGAAAGAAACAAAGTTACATCAGCTATTGCAAAATTCAATTGGGCGATTCAATGTTTTACGAAAAAACGTTTGTGCGGATTCATTTAAAAATTTTAAAGAATTTGTTACGTACTGTGGAGAAAATTTACTGTCATTTGCACAAAAATCCGCACAACCATTTTTATACGTACAATTAAATTGCCCGGTTGAATTTTGCAATAGCTGGTGTGGCTTGGTTCCTTTCTGTTTAACGCGGTCCATTTGTGGTTCATCCATAAAAGCGCCTATCTGCATGAGGAAGCAATAGGCACATATGCTATTTCTAAAATATAAGTAGTGGTGCCTCATTGGATAACGCGGGTCGAATGAAAAAACCATCGGTTCAACTAAATTATTAAGTTGAATACTGATGGAAATGGACGGATCATATTATTTTGGGTTTAAATTGAAGAAAAAATTGATACTGTGATTCGAGCATGCACTATTGCACTCCCCTATAAAGCTGTTGTAAATAATCGATTTTGGGTGAGACTGCTTAGATGGGTATCGATTGTATTACATACATTTAAATAGACAGAACCCAGTGTTGCCAACTTGCAAGAATCGTCATTGGCTCCATCGAAAATTGGATTGACATCAGACTATTTCATGTTTTCATTCGTGTAGTTGCAGACTGACGTCTGGTAGATGGCAGTGGTAATAATTTAAAATTATTAAATCAGTTTTCGACTGATGAAAGTATGAAGCGACCTTGCTCTGTTCAGGCCTCGTTTCACTCATTCTTGGGAGTCAGTTTAGCGTTAGATTATTTCATAATACAAATTCCGTTTAGTGGTAGATTGACTTAGGATGATGGAAGATAATGTAGTATAACATCAGCATGATGGCATTAGTCTTACATTAGTGTACTGACAGTTCGACATCATTCTTCTTTCGCCAGTAAAAAGTGAATTTTATTTCTTTGTGGGACACGGATTTTGTATTAGACGCGCTATTTTATAATGCATCCTATATAAAGCGCCGGGCACCATACATTGGCCGATGGATTCAATAGATTTCTGTATCGGGCACTTAAGGGATCCTACGCTCCGGAAACGGAGGATACACCATACTTGCTGATTAAATTCTGGGGTTTTAAAAGGAAGTGGAACTCTCTTGCAGAAATTCAGACTGACATCATTAAACAAATTCGCGGAGAGTCTGTCTTACATCACGTAATTTACCAAGCCTAGTGTGCGGAGCGGTGACTTCACGTCACCGTTGGTTCGCCTTCAGTTTTCAGTGTAGGCAACCCCAGCTCCCTCGTGATCGAATAGTGGTATCACTCTCAGTTGTCGCGATTGCTTAAGGAAAAAAGCCTGAATAATTATCCAAACGTTCGACCATGACATTCTGCATAGCGCAGTGACTTTACCTCGTGCTTTTTATTTATTGCGAGATACTTTGCAGTTTTAACTTGAAATTGCTCTCTGGGAAAATGTGTATTCCTAAATTGCTGTATTTGTGTATCGAGGTATTTGTAGGATCAAGGATCAGTGGACTGAGTTCAGCAGAAAGGAACCAACCCATTTTTGGAAAAAATTGAGTTATGAGTGGTTTTGAACTTGACCACTGCTCTACTATCAATTGCCAAAAATTTAAAGTTATTGTTAGCGCAAATTTTGCAGAAATTGAACTTAAAGTGCATCTTTTGCTTTGAGTCTTATGCGGGAGCAAAACCTCAAACCCCTTTTTCTTGGTTCGATCCCGATGTGGCTTGGTTCCTTTTTGTTTAACTCGGTCAAAATAACACATAGATGATTAAATACAACTAATAAAACTTGAAATATACACAAATGGCAGTTTTACGTGAAACTAATGACTTTGTGTAAATAGTGCCGGACCCCTAATTTTTCATTGTTTGGGCCCGGGTCCTCAGTGCAGGTATAGTACTTGTACTATACCTGGACTGAGACAATTTTGTTTGCAATTTAATCTAAAATATCAGAAAATTTCACAGAAAAATATGCACAACTTTCTTCAAAAATACATTATTTATTCGGGGAGATTAGGCAACTCTCGACTGCTCATACGACGTTCTTCCGTGGGAAGGCAGCATACCTACCCAATTGATTGATTTCATTTCATGCTTTATGAGAAATTTTGTAAGAGAAAAAAAAAAACTGACCAGAGCTATTGTCTTGACAGTCTACCGGGGGAGGGGGGTGGCATACTCTCAGTTTGGAAACGATGGGATCTTTATCAAACGCGTTATACACATGTACTTTTTTCACTCTTTTGGTAATTTCGGAAATCGACACCTTGGTAATTCCATTTGATGTACTTATCGCGTTCTACTGAGCGTGTGAAAAGGCCTTCATGAAGTACTTATTGTTAGTCCACGCTGGACAAAGACATACGCGGGTAAATTACGAATTTCTTTGCGTCATAACGTCGCTCAGTGGTCTGGAGTAGAATAAGCTAAAATTAAATGACGTCATCGATTACAAAATCTGTTATGTTGAGGCCTGCAGGGGGAGGCTGGACCATATGAATTGAGAATTAACAATAATTAGATAGAAACCTTCTAGTGAAGGACCTTGGAGATATCACTTGATTTGACGGAGTATTGAGTTGGACGTTCTTGAATTTTGGTCTATTCTATCTCGAACCATTGTTCATTGAAAAAAGAGCTATGTAATAAGGGGATTATCTCCGGTCGAGTTTTAATTGCTTACTTTAGCCCACATTTGAAAAGAGTATTTCCATACAGATCGTCGTAACCTACATGAAAGAATGTAACTATATTTCAACGTTGTGGAAAACCACTCGTAAATCTTACTTTAATTACGAAATTATTGAGCACTTCTGACTAGAAATTTTCCTCATTTAGGTCTCGCTTACATGCAATAATCAGCAAAATTTTGGGTAGAAATTGGACGATCATATTTTTAATGAAAAATTTAGTCGTTCTAGTTGATTTTTCAAACTTGGAATGGAGTTTTAATGGCGATTTAAGCAGGAGCGGCTTTAGAGGGAGGTCTAGATGCAAGGGGAAAATGGCATATAAGTAGTCAAAAATTGCCAAATTTCCATCGATAAAATATTTATTTTTGAGGAATTTTAAGAATATTTTCCCTTGAAATTTTCAAATACTTAGGCTTTAATTGCCTATTGGATTCTTTGAATTACTTGAAGAAAAATATTCGCAAATTAACCTGAAAATTCGTATCTTATTGAGGAAAATTTAGCAACATCTCGGTAGACTGAACAATACCTAACAAGAGGTCTAGAAATCACCAGAGATAGGTAAAGGACTTATGTGCAGACATTCTTTAAAGATTATTTCTGGTGCAAACTGGAATTTCAAAAGACCTCATCGAAACTAATCTTAGAATGAATCTAGGGGTATATAGACATTGACAAAATTAATTTTAGGACTCGTAATTGATTAAAAAATCAAGCTACAAGCTAAAATAAAACAAGTATAATATTTTAAAGAACATGTAGATGAGGAAATACATAAAACTTACAAGAAACTACGCACTGAAGAAGACCGCAGTTTGTAGGCGGTAGAGACGTTTGCTTGTTTCTTGTAAGTTTTATATATTTTCTCATCTACATGTTCCTTAAAATATTATACTTGTTTTATTTTGGCTTGTAGCTCAATTTTTTAATCAATTACGATATTCTATACGGCTTAGCCAGCCAAATATGGCAATAAAATGTATTAATTTTAGACGGGACAGGCTGCTAGAAAAACGGAATATATTGCTTTACACACATTTAAAATGAAGAAAAACAGTGTTGCCGTTGCAAGCTATTGAGTTCAGCATTGTTTAAAAATTGTTATCTGACATGTAGACAGTGTACTCAATGTACTGAAGCTGACGTTGTTTTTAATGTCTCTCTCGTCTTTTCAACACCTCCTCAAGCGGAGTGAGCATCTTCAAAACTGAGACATACTTTCAGTGCGATGTCATATTGAACGCATGCCAACTTTCCGGATTCATTTTCGTGAACGTTGGAAAATTAGGTGAACGAGGACTCTGCCTCACGTTTCGCACAAGCTTCGCCCTTGTACGTTATTTAAAATTTACCTCCTCGGACAGGTTTTGTTTGGCCCATTAAAATACCCTCCCTGTCCGTCATTTTCGCGCGAAAACGTCGCGTATCATCTCTGTGCAGAACAGTCGAGATACAGAAAAGCACACCTTGCGGTAATTTTAGATCTCCGGCTTTTTATTCAAGTCAATCAAATTAAACGCTTTTCTGAAGTGGGTCTGTTGCACGTGAGATCCAGTTGACGACAACGAGTTGACTTTTCACGGGTAAACTGCCGTGTTAGTGAAGAGAGCATCAAGTGCAAAAATGAAGTTTTGAGAAGACGGGCTCTGACAGGAAAATTTTATTGAAAGAAGCCTCCGTTCTTTGTCAAATTGCCAATAATCGTCTGAGACTCCTAGAAATCGTTCGGATGATTACTTGAAAGCCCTGTTTTGATTGGCTCTCTGGAGAAATATTGTGATTTACTGCTGTATTGACTAAAACTACGTCATTTTTTGTGCACTTACGGCTTTCTCATGTCTCGTTTGGATACAATTAAGATGAATTTTGCTGTTTTAGCAATTTCAGTGATTTAATCTAAGAGTTTAGACGAATT